ATTTTATTGAAGGGGCAGTCTTTTCCCCAGTGTATGTTCCTAGTGCCTTTGTCAAAGATCAGTTGGTTGTAAGTATGAGGTTTGATTTCTGGGTTCCTTTTTTTTTTCCATTGGTCTGAGTGTCTGTTTTTATGCCAGCACTGTGCTGTTTTGGTTACTATAGCTTTATAATATAATTTTAATTATCGTGTTTCTTAGTTGGTGCCATGTTACCTTGTTGATTCATGTTTCTTGTTTCCCTGTGTTGATATCTGTGCATCTGGTGGCACAGTCACTTCCTTGAATTTTGTAGAATGGCTTGTGTGGGGAAGGACTTGCCCTTACCAATATGTCTTTGGGTAGAGTATAGTGGCTTTGTTCTGGATGGGTATATTAGTGTTGACTCAGTGTAGTTTTTTCAGCTGTAATTCACTTTCACATTCACTATGTCTGTGCATGCCTCACTGGCCTATGCTTGGGAGGTTTGTTGTGGCAGTGGCATAGCTTTGATAGGGGTGGCTTGCTTTGTTGGTTCAGGCTTGGGATATGCCTGTGCTCATGTGGGTCAGTTGTCTCTGGGGCTGGCTCACTGTGGGTGGGATTGCTGGATTGAGTTTTCTGGTAGTGGGCATGTATGTGTGTCGTGTCAGGGATTCCAGGGCTGGGTCACCATGTGCAGGGCCACCATGCTGATTCTCTAAGCAAGAGTGGGCCTGCCAGGGGCATATCAGCTAAGCTGTTTCTCACTCAGACATTTTTGCATGTGATGGTGCAAAGACTTGGGTGGATCCACCAGGGACATGAAAGCTAGGCTGTTGCTCTCAGGGGCATGGACAGGGGCATGGGCATGCTTTGGTTTGGCTAACAAGGTGTGGGTCTGCCAGGAGCTGTTCCATTGTGCCAACTGTTGGGGTCAGGTGCAGGGTCATGTTTCCCTCAGCAGTTTGGGAGTGGGTCTGCCAAAGGCAGGGCTGCCAAGGTGAGGCTGCTGACCCACTTCTCAGGCAGCAGTTGAGGTCACTAGACAGGCCTGCAGAGAGAGGGCCTGGCCAGTCACTTCTTGGGTGGTGTGCAAGGTTGGGAAATAGGCTTGCTGAGAGTGGGCCTAGCCAGCTGCTAATTGGACAGTATCCTAGGCTGGTAGATGAGGCTGCAGAGAGTAGTCCCTGCCAGCCACTTCTTGAACAGTGGGCAAGGCCACTAGGTGGGGCTGCATAGAGAGGACCTAGCCAGCTGCTTCTTGGGCAGGGTGGGAGGCCACTAGGTGGGACTTAAGTGAGGGGGCACTGCCAGCTGATTCTTAGATGGTGGGTAAGGCCATTAGGTGGGATTGTTGAGTGCGGGACCACATGGCTGCTTCTCCAGGAGTGTGTAGATACACATTGGTTCTGCCAGCGCAAGGGTATGTTCATTAGAGTAGGGACCCATGGCTGCTTTTCTGGGTTGGGAGCTTGGGTGCACAGAACTCAGCCTGCTGGTGGGGTTACTGAGGGATGTTGTCTGTCTGATTTCTGTCCAGGGTTGTGGGATATGTTGTCAGTGTAGCAGGCCTAGGATAGGCTTCCCACAGGTACTAGACTATAGTCACAGCCACTCCTGGGTCCAGGCTTCAAGCTGCTGGGCTCTGGGCTCTGTAGCTTTTCCTGTGAGGGAGCATAGTGGCTACTGGACTCCTTGGCAGGGTGTTCTCTGGCAGTGGCTCTGGTTTCAAGATGGCATTCTACTGCATCAGCGTGGGTCATGAGTTTGGGGGGTGGGGAGTACACAGTATGTACTCCTGTTCTTTAGTAATACAGTACATGTATTCTAGGCTGCTCCCCACACTTGGCTCTGTTATTGCAACGGCTGTAGCATCCTAATGCAGTAAGAACTGCAAACCACTGTGGTGAGGATGTAGGTTGCTGTGGGCCCTCTTCCTACCCTTTCTGTACAAGAGAGTCCTTTCTGTACTCATTCTGGTGGCAGAGTCTTGGCAGGTGAGACCATGTGCCTCTCACTCCTCTTTATGTTGTCATCCTGGGTTTTTGCGCTTTACAGGGATCTCACCAGTCTCCTGCTGTACTCCTGCACTCTCCCACACACAATCCTGTCAGTATTTAGCTTTCTACTAGTTGTTTTGGTCCTTTTCTGTGAGAAGGATGCACCCTTGGCAACTCTAGTCCACCATCTTGCCCTCATGTTAGAACATTTTATACTTAAGTCTTGTTCAATGTAAACGTTGTAGTAGACATTAGAATTTAGAGCCAGTAGTTCCATGCATTTTAATATTTTAGGTATTTTAGTCTTGGATATAATATAAAATGAGTAGTTAACACAGTTTTTTGTACCCTGGCTTGGGTTAAATGGAGATAAAATCCCTTGAAACCTTAGGGCTAGCTTACTTTTGTGAATGAGAATGAGCACTGCTATTTAGCTGTTTGTCTTCTTGCAGATGTAACAGTTGAGAGGCATGGATGGTGTGGAAAAGAGGGTGACTTGTCATTTTCTTGCTTTGAGTTAGTACTCTCAAAGATTCAGTGTACTGAATTCTTTGCTTTTTGGAAACAAGCTAATAGTAGTTCTGGTATATGTAGGTGTGTATATACCAGAAGTAATTTATGGTTGGGAATGGAAACCTCTTCTTGGAATTTAGGGCTTATTTCTAAAATATTGAAGATAATGAAGACATTTTCTTTTCTGGAGTTGGTCAAGAATAGAACATCTGTCACCATGCTTCAAGTTCCACGGGGGTGTTTGGAGCAGGTTTGGAAGAGAAGTGACCTCCAAGTTGTTCTCTGTGCTTTTCTAATTAAATTCTCTCTGATACCAGGAGAGACAAAAAATTTTCTAATTCTTAGTGGTTTTTAACTTTAAGTACTTCTTTCATTTATTTGTGAGTGCTGGCTGTTTCCTTTATGGTTTTTTTTGGACAGTTCTCATAGAGCTTAACTTTATATAAGAGATAACCAACATCTATCTAATTTGTTGTTAGTTCCATGTCCTTGAAACAAGGACAGTTCAGATTGCTGCAGTTTGTAAGAGACTGGGAAATAGGGTTTAAAAATATCATCAAAGGAGCTCAAATTCTAATGGAAGTTGATAAACTGAAATTGCTTAATTTCATCATTAAGTTCAAAATTAATCCCAAAACCTCTGGTTTACATTCGTAAATGCCCTTGCAAGGATTTTGGTAGCTGTCATTTAGGAGTAGAGATCACTTAGACCTCATTAATAGACAGTATGCCCTCTGAAAATGATATGGTATCTACTGTAATCCTAGAGTGTTTTAATAGTCTATTATATGCTCAGCAATGAAACATTTCAAAAGTGACTGACAGCCAATTGATGTAATTCATGGTGATCTTTTGTGTTGACAGATCTTTAAAAAGTCATGGGAAATTACTACTGTACCCAGTGAAACCGCCTCCTTTTTTTCCCTTTAAACTGCCAATATCCTGCAAAACAGGACAATTTTCTCTTTGGCTGCCACTGTTTTTTATTTCAGTTACATGACACGATTTCTCCTTATTATTAGGATTTCTTTTGATAGACAGAATGTGTTCCCTATAGGTAATGCTGATTTTAAAATAGAAATTCTGCAGTTCTCCAAATTAACTCTCTTACTTTTCTGACTTCCACATCAAGACAACCTTTCCAGTAGCCACCTTCCCACTCAGGAAGAAGAGTGATTTAATTTAGACAATTTAAATCTTTTAAAAATGACTTTAGTCCTCTTCTGAAGGAGAAGCATGATGAAAGGAAGAGGATGATGAATTGCTTATTTTGTTGGGTATTTTTTCCTAGAGCACTCTAAAGTTAAAAGGCTGATGTTTCAGGTAATTTTATAGGAGACAGTAGTCTTGTATTCAAAACTCAATGTCTCTAAATTCAAACTATAGAATGAATGGAAAGGGTTTCTGATGAATATGAACTTGTCTCATGAGTTGTGGGGAGAAATAGAGATCTAGGCCCAGTGTTGTTCTGCCTCTTTCTCTAAGAGAATTTGTTGTAAGTGAATCTTTGCCATTTGGCATTGTGTTTAAAAGTAGCTGTTTTCCTAAGATCTTCCTTAGTGGAGTAAAAGGTATTTTTTTTTTTTTTACTTCAACCCATTATAAAAGCATTGTCATTTTGAGTTGATACGTATTTTTTGAGATTGAACTGTGTGCTTTAGCCCAGTGATACATGTTAGGGAGGAGGTAAGACTACTTTCAGATTATAGATGTATTCATATTTTTGTTTAATATTCCATGATATGATATAATGTCAATGATTCTTATTGAAGTATAAATCAAACTTTTAAACATTGTTTTGAAATACCATTGATTTTAAAAATTTGTAGTACCTCCCTTCACCTTTAGTTCCGGGTTCTCCTTTTGTATCTTCTAACCACTCTCTCCCTAGCTCAGTACCTCAGTAGGCTAGAATACAAACTAAATTCACACATCAAAACTCCTATCTGCCACAACCCTGCCACTAGACATATTCTTGTGAAAATAAAAAGTTAATGATGTAGAAAAGAGAGACAAAAATGGTTCCATTCCATTTCCTCTTCATATTTCTTTTAGACTCTGGGGAATATGAATAGTTTTAATAGTTTTATGGTTAAGAAATAAGTAGTAGGTACCACTTTTACATGCGCTTGTTGTTTTCTAGCTTGTCCAGATTATTATCAATACAACACACTTGGAGAAATCCTGTAAGTACTTGGAAGAATTCATCACCAATATCACCAATGTGCTTCCAGAGACAGTGCATACCACCAAGCTCTATGGCACCACAACTTTTAAGGTGAGAGTCCCCACAGTACTGTGAAATTGCTTCTGCTGTGCATAGTCTGGGGTATTCTACTTAACCTGGCTTTTTTCTGCAAACTATTTAAAACATGCTCTTAAGAATAAGTTCTTATGATGGGTTTTGTTTCTCTTCTCTATTTTCTTAGAAAAATAAATACTAGTATTTATTTTAGAGTGTTTAAACTAAAACAAACAAACAAAAAACAACTACAACTGTGTTCTCTAAACCCTTCCTTGTATTTTGTGAAAAAGTGACTATTTCCTAAGTTGACTCCCATCACAGTCAAGAGTTCTTAAGTGTGGTCTAGATAATTGTGGTTATGGCTAACATCAATATCAATTAAAATTTTCTACTTAGTTCTTTTCTCTCTGTGTTTTGTGACCAATTTTTTATCCTACTTTTTTAGTGAGGAGTTTCTGTCCCTTTCTATTACAGTTGTCAATTTTATAATTATTTCACAAGGCACAGCACTAGTTTTGATCCAGTGTTGGATCAAATGGGAAAAATGACTCTCTTGTAGAGCAAAACAAGGATTGATGGTAGGTGAGTTTCTGTAGGATAAATACCTTAACTTAGAAGAGTCTTCATAAATTTCTTTACATTGTCATGTGAACTTTAAATAGATATTAAACAGAAAAAGTAACAGGGCAACAAGTAAAACATTAAAAGGGTGGATTCTGACATAAAGGCCAACTTATATAATTTGAGTTTTTGTTATTGTTATTTGATTGTTTTAGTTTTGAAATATGTTCTGTTTCACCCTTTTGAAATCCAGAAATTGATGTTAATTAGATATACAGTTGTAGTGTCGAAACCATGATGATGTACCCTGGTGTCTACTTTTTCTCATCCTTTTTTTGCCTTTATTTGTCTGTATCTTCCCTTGGGAGTAGGGACAAGAGAAGAAATCAAATTTGATTCATACTGCTATTACATTTTCTGAGAGATAAAAATTGTTGGTAAGACTCATTATATTCTGTTGTAACAAGAAAATGCAGTGTTGACCATGAAATATTCTTTTTTTTTTTGTCTTTTTCCGTGTCCGGCAACGGATCGCAACCCTCAGTGTTGCCCCCGTACGGGACCGGGGACCGGCAATGGGATTGCAACCCTCGGCGTTGCTCCCGTGCCTCGCTCAGCCAGTGAGCGGGAACTGGTCTGTATGTGGGATCCGAACCCTCGGGCGGGAGCGCCGCCGCGCTTCCCAAGCGGCGCACTTATCCAGTGCGCCACCGGGCCAGCCCCAACCATGAAATATTCTTTTTTTTTTTGTCTTTTTCCGTGTCCGGCAACGGATCGCAACCCTCAGTGTTGCCCCCGTACGGGACCGGGGACCGGCAATGGGATTGCAACCCTCGGCGTTGCTCCCGTGCCTCGCTCAGCCAGTGAGCGGGAACTGGTCTGTATGTGGGATCCGAACCCTCGGGCGGGAGCGCCGCCGCGCTTCCCAAGCGGCGCACTTATCCAGTGCGCCACCGGGCCAGCCCCAACCATGAAATATTCTTTTTTTTTTTGTCTTTTTCCGTGTCCGGCAACGGATCGCAACCCTCAGTGTTGCCCCCGTACGGGACCGGGGACCGGCAATGGGATTGCAACCCTCGGCGTTGCTCCCGTGCCTCGCTCAGCCAGTGAGCGGGAACTGGTCTGTATGTGGGATCCGAACCCTCGGGCGGGAGCGCCGCCGCGCTTCCCAAGCGGCGCACTTATCCAGTGCGCCACCGGGCCGGCCCCAACCATGAAATATTCTTTATGTACTTAGGTGATTAGGTCAGCTGCTAGAGTGCGTTATACATTTATTAGGTCACCATGGATTGTTATTTCAAATTACCAACAAAATTACCTACAACAAAATTTAGTATACATCATGTTATGTTCGTATTATTACTTCCAGTTTTTTCAAAATCTCTAATTATATTAATATCAATGGTTTTTTAGTGAAGAAAAGAATTATTTAATAAGAACAATGAGTACAAAAATATGAGAGGAGCTTCTAGGAGCTCAGAATGGCCTTAGGCAGTTTAAGAAGGATTATAATTGCTCTTAAACCCTAGCATTATTATAGAGCATGGGCAATAATTTTATCAAAAACTGTTTCTATTTGCTTATCTCTGAAAGCCAAAATTTCTCCAGGAAAGAAAATGTGGGAAGGGCTATAGTTCAGTATTAAGCAGAGAATAGGGAGTTAGGGAATTACAACATGAGGTTTATTTATACTTGTTTATCATATGGGGAATATATAGTATCTACTGACCCTCTTTCCCCCAACCCATATCAATTTTTTTTATTTCAATGGCTTTTCAAATTATGTTCAGAAATCCTCCCAAAGGATGGCTTGTATATCGTATTGTTACTCCAGCATTAAAAATGCTGAGGTAAATTAAAGGCAGACAGAAAGCCATAGGGGTTGAGCAACCTGTTAAATACTTATTAACAGAGAAGTTCTGGAGACCACTAAAGGTCGTGTTGACAGTGCTTATTGGAAACACCGATTGTTAAAACACATTGAAAGTTTATTTTTACCCCAGTTGCTTCAGGCTAGCTAACCCAGAACTCAATATAAACATGGCAGTTATGACAGCTATATGTTGTGTATTTTTCTAAGCTGCTGTTTCCAGAAAACTTTCCCTTGCAGATGGAAACCTTTATTCTGGAAAAGGGGCAAAAGAATGAGAAGGTCTTCAAGGTATTTTCTTGCAGAGTTCTCTCTTGTTTCTGCCATATGTGACATAAACTGGCATTCTTCTTAGCTTTCCTTGTTTGTAAGATTTTCCTCCCTCTCTTACAAAAGAGAATGAAGGTGTTTATTAATTTTCTTCATCACAAATACTGCTTGCATATGTACTAGGTGACAATTTGGTAGATTCTTGGGGAAAGAGAGAAAAACTTCGTCCCTGGTCTTAGAGTTTATGATTCACAGAGAAGACAGATACTATAAGTTCTATAAGTAACTAAATAAAAAGTACTAGAATAATACATCAAATGCATTCAGTTCTTCATTTTTTTCTTTTTTTCCTTTTTTTCTTGAAGTGTAATTGACTATATATATTTGGGGGGTATAGTGTTGACTATCATTACTTGTGTACAACATGTGATGATCAAATCAATCCCTTGTTGATTCAGTAAGTTTTTATAAAGCATTTGCTACATACCAGGCAATATTATAGACACGAAAAAAATACAAGGATACTTCAAAAAGTTCGTGGAAAGATTCGTATTATCTTTAATTCTATTTTTCTATGAAGTTTTTTAGTACCTTTGTAAATAAGTCTCATGACTTTACAAAGCCTATTTTATAATGAGTTAATAGATGATAAACAACAAACAAATCTAATATAATGTCACATACTGGTAAGAACTAGGAAAAAAATAAATGACCCAAATGAAATGAGAAATTGAATCATTTGGATTTCTTATGGATACTCATTCCAGTCAAAGGAGGCAGTACAGTGGTAGGTACTGGTGTATTTAAGGAATAGCAAGGGGGTCAGTCTAGCAGTGATGTATCTATCACTAGTGGTAAGGGTGGTAAGAGATGAGGTAATTAGGAGTCAGGTGATTTCTGGCCTTGTAAGCCATAGTAAATACTTTAGATTTTATTCTGAAATGAGATGTGAAGTCATTAGAAGATTGGGGATGGTAATGATGATCTGATTTATCTTTTAATGACTAATACAGGTTGTCATGTGGAAAATATATACACTGTAAATCAGAGTTGCAGAAGAGAGTCCAATTTATAGGTTATTGAAGTAGTCCAGGTAAGAGATAGAAGTCACTTGGACTAGAGTGGTAGAGGTAAAAGTAGTAAGAAATATTTTTGAAGGTAGAGACAGCAAGTCTTACTGATTTATTATGGGGTTTTAAGAGAAATAAAGGAGTCGAGGAAAATTCTAATATTTTTGAACTGAGAAAACTGGATGAATGGTGGTATTATTTTTTGAGATGGAGAACACTGAGAGAGTAATAGATTTGGGGAGTAGGAGCAGAATCAAGACTTCCATTTTTGACATATATGCTTGATATATTTAGTTGTCATCTGCGTAGAGATATTAAATTGGCAGGGCAGGATCAGAGCTGGGGATAAAAATTTAGAATTCATTAGCATAAGGATTGTATTTAATGCCATGGGACCAACTTTCTTCTGGTAATTGAGTATAGATAGAGAAAAGGTATGAGGATTGAGTGCCAAGGGACTTGAATATTGACAGAAAAATTCCATACAGAATTAGGTCCCAGCTTTGGGACCTCCAAGGAAGACTTCCCAGACAAGGTACAAATTGGAATGTGTCGGGCCGAGCCCATGGCGCACTCGGGAGGGTGCGGGTTCGGATCCTATATAGGGATGACGGGTGCGCTATTAGAGCTCACTGGCTGAGCGTGGTGCAGCCGGTCTCAAAAAGGACAAAAAAAAAAAAAAAAAAAAGTGGAATGTGTCTTGATACCAGCAAGAGGTGTCCACACAGAGAAAGGATGGGGAGGATGTGAGGGACATTTAAACTTCATGTACAAAGATGAAAAGATAAAGTCAGACATATTCAGGGTAGAATAAATATGGCAGTAAAATATAGAAGTAGGTAAATGCCAAACTATGAAGCACTTTCTTTTATATTGATAGATATTTGGACTTTATTCTAAAGTCTTGGAAAGACTTCAAGTAAGGGGGTGTTGCATTTTTAAAAATAAACATTCTGTCTTGCCTAATTAAAAGGAAAGAGAGAAAGAGGGAAGACAGGAAGAGAAAGAAGGAAGGAATAAATAAATATCAATTATTCAAAGTTCAGAATGAGAGGAAATTAAATACCTAGAATACTTTGTGTAACTCTGTGCTAGTAAATTTGAGGATCTATAGGAAATTGTATGACTAAAAGTGATTCAAAAAGATATGGAAAACCCAAGTTGACTAATAACTATGTAGGAAATGAATACATTGTCAAAGATTTTTAAATTGGGTGATGTTCAGATGATTTTACCAGTGAATTCATTTAGGCCTGCAAGAA